TTTTTTTTTAGTCAAAAGCACAAAGCAGACGCTGACATCCAAACTCTCAAGGAGACAATTCGAAAATTAGAACAGGAACTAGAGAAACTTCGCAACGAAAATAAAACACTCGAGGCAAAAGAGGAACGTGCTCGAGATCTGCATAATCAACAACTAAACCGAGCAAATCTGCTTTCTAAGGAACTCGACGATTCTAAGCATGAAATCACGGAACTCAATGGTGGGTTGATCATGGAACTGAAAAACAAATTCGACAGTTCACTGACCCGCACCTTCAGATAAAATCAGAGCACTTGAAGATGAAATCCGCGATTTGCGCGATAGGATAAAGGGAGTTAAGGTAGAAAATGTAAATGCAATAGTACAAACGCAAAATATGCAGTATGAAAGCGAAATGCATTTAGGACACCACAAAGAGTAGAACCACCACAACAACTATCACGAGAACGATTCGTCAAGGACCTGGAGGCGAGACAATCGAAGGTGATGAGGTTACCATACCTGGTAAGTATATCTTTTTCTTTTTTTAGTGGCACCTGGACTTTGTCTTTCTACCGGTCATTGCCAAAAAGCTATGGAAAGCATGAGTTGCGAGTAATCCATATCTGTTGGAATGAACTATTACAGGTTCAACAGATACTGACCGTACAGTTGACCGATACCACGATGATCTCCTTTCTGATTTGCGGGTCAAGGAAATCAATGACAAGTGGAAGTTGCAGCTCGAGAAACTTGAAAATGAAAAGGTATTATTCACAAGCAACGAGTTGAAACCTTTTCTTTCATTTAAAATCTAGGACGACCTGGAGCGTCGCATCCGCGAACTGGAAGACGAGTTAGCACAAGTTGGAAGAGGAAACGAACGTCAGGAGAACGACGTGTCAGAGCTCAAGCGCAAGCATGCTATCGAAATCGACAAGCTTCGTTCCGAGATCAACTCACTTCACGATAAGCACCTAAGCGATCTCGACGACGAGAAGGAGCAGTACGGAAAGGTATTGAGAAAGCAATATCCAAAAAAGTATGACATTCACAATACATATTAAGGCTGTTGAAAACCTCAAAGTTGTGGAGGAAGATCTTCGCGAAAAAGTACGCAACTTGGAAAAGCAACTCGCCGACGCTCTTAATAGGTATGTCAACTGTTGCGACTAACCAAAGCATGGTGAATAGCTAGGATCAAATTCCAGAGAGGCTGACCTCGAGCGCGAGAAGCGTGACAATGAAGCTAAAGTCAATACTTTGACAACTCAAAACCAGAAACTACGCGATGATATGGAAGACTTGCGTAACGAGATGGACAAGGTAAATCACATCTAATCACCACTGTCATACATGTATGGAAATTTGCAGGAAATCCAAAAATGGAAGACTGACGCGTACCAGGTGCGATCTGAAGCCAAAGCTCTCGAGACCACCAATACTGGTCTTAAAGCTCAGCTGCAAGCTGCCAATGACCGTATTGAGCATCTGAATAAAACTGTCAATGACAGTACTAACAAAATACGCGAACGTATGTGTTCCTTTGAACTCCCATGATCTTTGTATTGCCGATGTTTCCAGTGTCGTCACAAGTGCGCCATCTTGAAGAAGAGCTCACTGACACAAAATCCAATCTCACACAGAAAGAATCAGATCTTGAAAGCACTACCAACAGGTTGGTTGATGACGAATAATAGAAGGA